TAGATAATATGGTGTGGTGGATACCATCAAGGTATCCACCACACCATAAATAATCACAATTTTTGTGCAGTATAGGTATACTGGCAGGCATCCACTATTTCATCCTTCGTCGGCGAAGTGCGGTATACCAGCTACACTGTTGCAAGAAAATTTGTTAAAATTTTTGATGCTGTGCCTGATGAAGATGAAGAATTATGCCTGAAGCTTTAGTAATGGAATTGGAGCACACGATGACCCACTCGTTCGCAATGTGTGATGTCTAGTTCTCCCTTGGTTGTTGTAAAACGATTTATCACTTATATTAACGCGATTCCTTTACTGACATCAAGCCTTCCCAGGGTTAGTTTCGAACGGATTTTCAAGCACAGGCTCGGCTCAGTAGTAGAACACTGGGCTGGCACGCAGGGGACCCGGGTTCGAATCCCATCGTGCTTTACATACCAAGTTTTTTTTTCTTATTCTCCAATTTCGCGCGATAGTGGTTTCGGACACCAGCGGTGGCAGAAAACTACGGCGCATGCGACCCTGGTGGTGATCTCATAACTTTCGCCCCGCCGCGGGGGTGGCTTAGGTACCTAATGGGCTGCTGACCCGCAGGTCGGGGAATGGAATCCCGGCAGCTGCATTTTTGATGGAGGCGAAAATGCTGTAGGCCCGTGTGCTCAGACTTGGGCGCACGTTAAAGAAACACAGGTGGTCGAAATTTCCGCAGCCCTTCGCTACTACGGCGTCTCTCATAATCATATGGTGGTTTTGGGACACGAAACCCCACATATCAACCAATCATAACAACTCTTGCTGAAAAAAAAAAGGAAAGGGAAGAAACGGGAGAGAGTCGTAGCACGGGGCTGGTCGTATGCATGAACGACGAACCTGTCTCGGTGACGTGCACTTTCGCTGGAAGTGGGAGCTACAAAAGCACAATGAGCGTGAAATAGAGTCGGTGAACTTTCGAGAGAGACGAAAAAAAAAAAGTATTGCAGATTTTTTTTTTTTTTTTGCAAATAGTCACAGTGACAAGTCAGATTTGCCTGCACTTCTAGTTTCGTTGCTTTTACTTTTGCATTCTAAATATGCTGTTGTGGTACGCTGCTTATCCCAGCACAAATAACAGTGCAGCAAAAAATACAAAACAAAACTGCTTATTGGTAAACGAAAATACGTTGTTACAACTGCTTTGAGTATTCTTCAGGGTGTGTAACATGTGACCCCAAATGATTCGTGATTGCACAAGACGATTGTTTCTGTGATTGGCACCAAATCAGACACGTCGTATTGCAAAGGCTATTTCATTTTACATGAATGAGAATGACACAGCTGCAAATGAAACCATGTCGGGAGACAATCACTGTACTCTGCGTCTGAGAGCTGCAGCAAAGCAACAAAAAAGACCACAAAGAAACTCAACCAGTTTCGAAACTCATGCACGCGCTTTGAGGAAAGCATCACTCAACAATTTCTAGAATCCTTGTTCTGGGTAACGCACGTTAGGTGGATGAACTGAGAACGGAACGGGCGAAGAAAACCCATACCACCTGGATTTGAAGTGGCCGAGGGGCAGGCTGGTGTGTTCGAGGAAAAAAAATTCAACGGGGACCCGACGGGGATGTGGCACCCGCTGGCTGCGTCACTACTTTTTCTTTTTTTTTTTTACATCGCGTAGGGGAAGAAAGAGAATGGCGACGGCGCATCACTGCGGAAGCCGTAGGGGCGTGCACGACTAAAATAGTGCTGGTATGCATACCCATTCTATGAGAACACCCCAAGCATAAGACATACAAGACTTCACCACATGAACCCTCAACTCGAACTTCGTCGACGTGAGGGTTCGCTTGGTCGTCAGCATTGGTTGGGGACTTGGGAGTTGCCGTCACATACAGCCCTCAATGGAGTGACCGACAGTGCGGAGTGCGAGGTCTGCGGCAGCGAAGAAAACATCGACCATTATGATATGCCGTTGCCCTCGATTAGCCGGTGAGAGACGAAAACTTTCTGACAAGTTGTGACGATTGGACCATGGCCCACTCTGTGCAGATGCTGCTGAAGTACCGTCTTCGTATTTTACCGGCTCACAAAGCAGTCAAAGCCATCTCGTGCTTTCTGAGAATACGGGCCTATGTGAACGCCTTTGACTTTTGCATGATGCCACCGCTTCATACGCGTCAACCCTTGTACCCAATTTCTCCTGTTTCCTCTCTCATTTTATACGCCCTTTTTCACAGCGCAGGGTAGCAAACCGGGCATGTGCCTGGTTAACCTCCCTGCCTCCTCTCTTGTTCTTCCTTCGCCATTCCATGAGCGGGGGGTTATTGAGTTACTCAACCAAGTTTTATCGTGCAGCAACGTGGTGCCTCTGAAGTGCCACGTTGCACTGTGGCAAAAAAGAACGCCCATGCTCGAAATTCATCCGTACATCTTCATATAGGCAACCAACATGAACGCTCAGTGAATAGAACCACCGTCATTTCCATCAGGCACACGTGAGTGTATACGCGCCACTAATGGATTGTTCCCAGGAATTTCATTTCTTTACGCAGGTCAATCGCTGGCTGGCTCACGCCTTTTATAGTCGGCATATATATATATATATGCCAACCACTTGAGACGTGTTTCTTCGTTATTATGTCGGCGTATAGAACAGCCAATCCATCTTAATTGGGCGTGTACTTTTTGCAAACATGTCAGAGCGACGGATTATTAGCGGCACGCATGATGTCATGCTCGGTTGATCTCTGATGATCGCAACGAATGCGTAGACGTGACTTATTTATACTGCAAAAAGTTGACTGGTGCGCACGAAACACGTGTTTAGCCATATTTGTCTTTTGTGTCCATTTTGTATATATGTGTGCACGTGAGTGTTATCCGCATTCTTATGCGACGAAGGATGAATGTATATATGGAATGCATATATATATATATACGTTAGTTTGCTCTTATTGCTTTCTGCAAACGTATTCCCAGTAATGTGTTTTTATTATTATTGTTATTATTGAAAGACTCCTGCAAAATGTACGTGATCGTTCAGTTTGCTGAGAAGGTCATCGATACTTTTAAATAAAGAGAAAATGATGCGTTGAAACCGATACAGGTATAGATGCTTACAAAGACGTCCCAACCTATACCCCGGTGCTGGCGCCACAAAAGAAGCAGCCGATGTCATACGACGACGCATCGAGCTGTATACCATGCGTGTTTTCGGAACATGGCAGCGGCTGAGTGCAGAAAGACGACCTTTTGCTTTCGACCACGAAGTGACGTAGGTCACACGTGACAAAAAAGGCGCTAACACAGGGTTGCCCGCCTTCAAAGACATAATTAGAGAACACGCCACCAATCCCCAGGAAAACTACAGACTTGCAGTCTTGGACGGAGGCACAGATCATTGCAGCATACACAGAAACTTCGTTGAGATCAGAGGACATCGAAAAAGTGTCGAAGTTGGCGGGTCCGCTTCTGGCAAGCATGCTGAAAACGTATAACACTGAGGTGAACGTGTATTGAGTCAGTAGACACTAATACCTTATAAAGTCCTAATCATCCACCGGCGTGATAAATACGTGTCATTAGTCAGGGACGCAAAAGGCGCGAGTGGAGGCGATTATCGATAATACGAACAGGAGCGTGTTTCGATAAAGAGTATGGAAGTAAGTGTATGTGTATACGGTGCCATTTGATGTTTAGCGATGGCGATCTTCGGCTGAACACTTTTGAACTCCCATGCCTACTGGGCGATGGGCACTACGTTGCCTGTGGTAGTAATCATGCCAAATTGTAGACGAAGAGCGGACACGGGAAAAGTCGGGAAAAGGTGAGCGATTACCGGTGTGATTGTGTGCCAGTTGCACTGCTTCGTGGCGGATATATAAGCGCCGCTGAAGGCGTTTGCCGAATACTGGACGATCAGTGGTATCGACAACACGCGACGCTTCGTCTAACCCACGATCTGCTCTTTATAGTTTATAGAGCAAGTCGTGGTCCAACCACAACTACATACGAATTTGTTCTCGCCGAGTCCTAACAAAAAAAGAAAAAAAGGTTTGAAGTCTCAGCTCAACCAGATGACTTATCCTGTTCAGCTGCTAATCACTGAGAAGTCACAAACCAAAACGAGTGTAACAAGACAGGTGTGTGCACATTGATTATCACAATGAATACAAGAATGAGTACACCCATATATCCAGCCGACCTTTTGATCCTGTCAAGTTCTCCGGCCGAGGCACGTGTCAGCGCATTGACCGCGCAAGTGCACCTGACAGCTACGCCATTTTGGAACGCGCTGCCAGGAATTTAGAAAGTGCGGGAAAAGACACACACACGCACACAGCGATTCCTCGCTCTTTTTTCAGTTCGGGAAAGCGCATTACAAGATCAAGTTTTACGATGTGGCCGCCATTGATAGCCTTACTGACCGGTGCTATGTCGGGAGATATAAATACAGGGAATTTTTCCAGATGCAAACAGGAAGCGAATAGTGCGATAAACCATAACTTATCTCATGAAAGCACCAGGATTAAGAAATAATCGTTCTGGTGAAGCACGAGTGTTGAATCTGTTTATTTTTAAAATGGTAATCGAGGGTGCATTGCTTGCGTCTCTACGATGGAAATCTCAACTAATGTTCGCCTTTCCCCGTTCTAATCCTGGGTATTGATTATCAAAAAAGGTTGGTAAAAAAGAAACAAAAACAAAACAGTCGCCACTATATCACAACGCATGCCCTCCTTTTGCTATACGGTTAGAATAGGGCCCGCTTCCAGAAATTACCCGTTCCGTTTGAGGTGTGCGATCCGAGATCCGGGTGCATATTTTGAGGTCATATTCGTCGACACCATCACTTAGGTTAGAGCAACTTGGCGATCTGCCAACCATGGTACAACATGACGCGCCCGGTGCGTCTTTAGCGACAGGTCGACAAATTGACTGCGCGCACGATACAGAACACGGCTGCAGGACTACAGCGGCAGGGAGCTTAACAAGTTTCGAGAAGAGTCACTCACCCTGGAATGGGTAGCCCGTCAGGAGCGGTCGGATGGTGCTGAGCGCCATGCTAGGCGCCGAGTGGTGGCCCTGCATCCAGCAGCGGCCCGCACCCGACGCCCACTCTGGTCCGCCGAGTGCCGGGAACGAGTTGGCCTCCAGGGCAGTGCCGTAGGCGCCCAGCGTAGTAAGCTTCGGTCGCTCCCGACCCGTCGCCGATGCCCGTGCAGGGCACCACGCCGAACTCCGGCAGAGGCACGTCGGCGTCTTTCGCTGGACGCTACGCAACTCACACGGCCACTCGAACGTCGCGGCTTCCCGATCTGTCACGGCGGTGTCGAAACGATGGCACCCCGGCTGAATGCGGTGCAGCGCAGCTAATAGCCAGTTTGTAGCTCCTTTCCAGCAGGCAGAAGAGGTTTTCAGCACAGAAGCACCGATCGGCGGTCAACTTTCCCGATTCCCGACGAAACACCGTGGTCGCACGTTTCTGACAGGCAATTCGCCGACCCGGAAACGAAGTAAATCGTTGAGGGCGGCACCTGCTCGTTCGGAGCGATGTCGTTGTACGACGCGGTGACTTTCACGTCAATCACGCACAGCACAGCATGGAGGAGCGGGCACTGGCGGCAGCGCACAGCCGAAGGCGCAGGCAAGTACTAAGGTGGGCTGATGGTGGCTGCGCTGCTCCCCCGTTGAGAGGGGGACGGACAGAGGCTGGCGTCGCGCCGAAGGCGGGGCTTCGGCGGCTCGAGGGCGGGGCTTGCGGCCGCGTTACAATAGCGCCAACTACTCCCGCCCCTGTCGGTTCCTTGTTCGACTAGTTGAGAGGGGGGGGGGATTTTTGATACCGGACAAGGGTTTTTTTTGAGCGGTCATGGCTGGAGCCGTACAGGCGCTGCGCAGCGCTTGCATTTTCCGCTAAGAGCCCCCAGTTCTTCCGATATTGCCCCGATGTGGCGCATTCACAGAAACAACATGAAAAAGAAAGAATCGTACGCGAATGATACCGCTGGAGTAAAACAGAGGGGGCACGGGTGAGTGCTGAGGCGTAGTCGCAACTGATAAAAAAATATTTACAGGAATCACCAAGGTACAAGCGATAACAACAAATAGGTATCAACATTGCGCAGATGTCATAAAAAAATAGTCGAAAAATTATGGCGCCTCGATGTTCTCCCGCGTAGGCGCACCCACATCGAAGCACTTCATATTGGGAAAGGTAGCATTTCAAATCACCTAGCGGCGCGCCTGCTGAGCAGATAGGCAAAGTGTCTGTCAGCACCCATGCCTCTTTTTGCAACTATGTCTTCATGAATTGTTTCATTATTGAATTACGACGCTGCGGTTTGGGTGTTCATAAATGACAGCTCTTTGCGCGGCCAGAAAATATATACCGTGGCGCTCCAGCTGATGACGAACAAGCGGACACCAAGACTATCTGCGTACACGCATGCATGTGTGTTTATGTGTATGTGAAGTAGCAAGCCAGGTGACAAAACTAAGGTAGTGTTTATACTAAAAGTTATTATCCCTACCATATATATATATATATATATATATATATATATATATATATATATATATATATATATATATAAGGGAAATAAGTGTGTACCTAAGGGCTCGTTTTTCCGTGTTTTGACACAATATTGATGAGATCTAACAGACAGTAATGCCAAGGAATGTACAGGGGAAGTTATTGGAACCAATGGAATGTAAATAAGAAGAGAGAAAAGTGCATGAAAAAATAACCAGCCGTGAGCAGGAATCGAACCTGCGACCTTCGAATAACGCGTTAGATGCTCTAACCACTGAGCTACCACAGCGGCCTGCAGTGGTAGCTGAGCTACCACAGGCCGCTGTGGTAGCTCAGTGGTTCGAAGGTCGTAGGTTCGATTCCTGCTCACGGCTGGTTATTTTTTCATGCACTTTTCTCTCTTCTTATTTACATTCCATTGGTTCCAATAACTTCCCCTGTACATTCCTTGGCATTACTGTCTGTTATATCTCATTAATATATATATATATATATATATATATATATATATATATATATATATATATATATAATATATATATATATATATATATATATATATACGTAACTTTTCTAGGGCACAGGAAATGCTGTCGTGACAACTGTCCCTTCATTACGCCACCGTGTTTTTCTCCGGGAAGCGCGGATATCCGAGGAGCGTATGAACTCCGGAAGTGCGTGACTGCCTCATGTGACGACGTTACACGCGTGGCTCGCATGTTTCACGTCGCGGAGCCGAGGTATATCTTCATGCTTTCCTGCGAGAACGTACGCGGCTGCCTCGACTGCGCGCGCTAAAGAGGCGTCCTGCGGCACACCGAATGCGATTCGCGTTGATATCACGGAAGCCACTCTGGTGACGCCTGTTAAGGACTGCAGGTTCGAGATTCACACCCCCGTGAGCGCCGATGCGTTGTTCGGATGGGACTCTCTATTTCGAGTAGCAAAAGCTGTAACCATCGAACGCGAAAATTCACCGTCGGTGTGAACGGGAAATGCAAAACGTCAAATGATGACGCCACAGATCACCAAAATCTGCCACGCCAATGACGACATCACGCAGCGTGACGTCATCATACGGCACCGTCGCCTAGTCAAAGGTGCATGTGCCTATCATGCAGGCAGATCAAAAGCACGTTATAAGTGCACGCAGAAAGCTTTTGGAGGGCGTCGAGGGCAGGATGAACGCACCTTATAATTAATAATAAAAAAGATGGCTTTCGCCTTGGCGTCGTCGAATGTATATATATGTAAGGGACTCTGCGAGTTCTGTTGTCACCTACATCATTGCACCTATAGTCGAGCTCAATGAATGAACTGCAACGTGGTGCAGTGCAGGAAATGGGTTGTGACTGGGGGTTAGTGCAGCCTCCCTCCATGCAGGTTAAATTTCGCCTTTGTATATAGACTTTTTTACGGAGAGGAGGATCACCGCTTTCTATAGAAATATACAGCCTATAACATATACAGCCTATAGGCTATTGCAGAGGTGTACAAAAGCCGACGTTTCAGCTTCGGCAACGCATTTTTAGGGAGTGTCGCATGTTTTAGGGGGTCACGCTCATTACAGAGACAGACGGCCATTTGGATATATTCGAACTGCTAGCTTGAGACGTATCTATTCCTTCACCTTTTCCACTGATAAGTCCCAGGTCAGTAAGAAAAGAGGAAAGCGGAAATGGTGGTTATCACCGGTCGACGTTATTAGGTCGCGAAATATATTTGTTACGCATGCAGACGCCAAGTACCCCCGTGGTGCTCCATATATATCACTTCAGATGACACTCAACACAATCTGCGCATTACGTGGAATCTGCCAACATGAGCACACTGTGGCGCAGGTTTCCAAGCTCAGGCAACACTGAAAGCGTGTCACAAGCGATGGAAAAGAGCACGCAGATGACGATGACTATGGGACCGAGAGGTGCCTGATGTACAAATGCTTGTATGGTCACTTTTCGAGTGCGCATGGCCGCTTTTCATGTTGCCTTTCTAATCGGTTCAGAAGGCGTTTCATCTCTCCATGCGTGATGCATCTGCGCATGTGTCCCTCTTTCTCTCTGCAGAATTCAGTTTTGTTACGCTGTTGGTTCTGGGCGGCCTCATCAGCCATGGCTAATCTTCACTTTGGGGATGCCATTTTCATTGCCTTTTTCGTGTAGCTTACGTTAACCATCTCTCTTTTTTTAATGGGGCGAAGTCTGATTGCTTTTTTTAAATTTTGGCATGGGTGGCAACTAAACTGAGCATGACAATGCATACGGTATAGACACTCCCAACTCATAATCAATAACTTACAACCGGCACTAAAGCGGATAGTATGGAGGACGTGACGTCATCTGCAGGAAACGCTTGCGCGTAAGCCGCCATAGCTGTGGTCGATCGTGCGGTCGTCATTGTAGGACTACAACCAAGATGTTTCGTCAGACGTGTTGTTTTGAACGTCTCTCTAAGAGTCCTTCGTATGAAATGATAATGTCCTATCGCGGTTCACCAAATGGCCTCGGCTACGTTAGCCGGATGTACGTATACGCACTCGCTGGCACTTACCGCCTGGCGAGCCGAACTCAGTGATTACTTCTTTTAAGAACATCGCATATTAGGTGACACGACCCAACTGAGAAATTTGGAGGCATAAAACAAAATGAGATGGTGTCAGAAAGCGTGCACCGGAGATCTTATTGCAAAACAGTTGTGCGGAATTCCACAAGGTGGTGGAATGGTTTCAAGAAAAAGAAACAGACAACAGTCCACACGTGTCAAGCAACTACAAGTTTCTCATTTACATTAGAACTAATACTTATAGCATCGCCCAACTTTCCTTGGCATCATTGTCTCTTAGTTCTCACATGTCTAAAAACAAAAACTATAGCCCTGAAATTTCTTTCCTTCGCAAAGGTCACACTCTGGCAGGCTTGGTGCCTTGATGCAGGGATTATTGGTGCCTCCTATTGAAAAGTTACCTCTCTTTTAGTCCACTTTTCTTTTTTCACATTTACATAAGAAATAAATGCTAATAAAGCCCCCTATATTTTTTCGTCTGATTATTGTGTGTTGGTTGTCATTAACGAAGCCACAAGAAAATCCATACAAACTTAAAAAAAAGTCACCTTATTTGTGCCGGAAAATTTGTCCTGGTCCGGGAATCCAACCCGGAACCAACGCTTTTCAGGTTGCTCGCTCTGTCGATGAAGCTGACCAGGAAGCCTCGCTTGTATCACTGTATATAAACGGGTGTTCGTATGTTTCCTATTTTTTGGGGTTGGAGATGATAAAAAAAAATGTCTTTGTCCTGCAGTAAATGGACAGGTTGATGATCATATGTGCCCTTGAGGGTAGCATGGGGGGCAGCCTCCCCCCCCCCCCCCCCTAACACCTAGGAAGGGGGCACACTCTGCCCTGTACGTTAACTCAGTTATGGCCACGCATGTTTTTTTTTTTTTTTATGACAACGGCGGCTGAAGGCTGTTGCATTCCAAGAAGTAGGATATAGTACAGGAATGCCACGGACTAAAGACGAGCCGTTGTGAGAAGCCCGTCGTCGCTTCATTTTTAGTATCTTTACTCGTAGTCAACCATGTTGTTCTTCGACCAACGGAAGGGCCATGAA